TGTGTGTGTGTGTGTGTGTGTGTGTGTGTGTGTGTGTGGTGTAGGTCAGGTGTGTGTGAATGGTGTAGGTCAGGTGTGTATGTGTGTGGTATAGGTCAGGTGTGTGTGGTATGTGCGTGTATAGTGTAGGTTAGGGTTGTGTGTGTATATATATTATGTGGTGTAGGTCAGGTGTGTGTATGTCTGCATGTCCTGGTAAATGTCAGAGGAAAGCAACCTTTGGAAGTTGATTCTCTTTCCTGACATGTGGGTCCCAGGGATCTAACTCAAGCTGTCAGGCTTAGCATTGGCTGTGACCAATTGAGCCATCTCTGGCTCAACTGGTACTTTTCCAACTGGTACTATTTCCATTAAGAAGAAGCTCCTGGATGGGATCACCTGGCCACCTGGAGAAGTTCACAGGCAGGGTTGATTAGGCATCTGTGCTGCACCTAATCAATGGCTCTAAACCACAAGCTAAGATAGTTAACTGGATCCAGACACTCTTCCTCTGCGAGGCAATCCTTGCTTAAACAGTAGCATACAGGCCTTGAGACTTTATGTTAATTGCAAAATATCACTGAAAGCTTGCTTCAGTCTCAAGGGAGTCTTGCACCAGGCACAACACTAAATTTCTCTGTCCCCTTCCTCTGACTACACTGTGGTTACACCTCAGGCCTGGTTGCCTGGCTACACGGGAGGAAGGAAATATTGCAGGGCACAGTAGCCTAGGGAACTATGTTGTCCTCAGTTTGAGGAACCAGGCTATTTTTCAACTGGCCAGGTTTAATCTTTGTTGAGTCACACACCCAAACAAACTTCAAGAACTATCCTGTCATTTGAGGGTCATGAGAAGGAAGGCAACAGAGCTCTTAAAACTTATCTGCTCCTGGGCAGGCCCTCCTGGAGAAGAGCAAGTTCAACATCCATGATTTACTCTAGCTGTATAACAGCCACCAGAAGAGGGTGCCACTGCTCTGCAGGAGTGATGGGTTCAGGGCTGAGGCGCTGTTTGACGTTCTCACAAGCTGCTCAAGCTTGGCGGGTGGAGTGGGCAAGGATAGCTTAACTACAGGGCCACACCTTCTTCCGCTGCTGTCCTTTTCATTTCATGTGTCTGTCAGAGACATGCACAGGGGAGGGCAAATCCTACTGAAAGTTACAAGGATGTTCAGGAAATGGAGATGGACCAGACTGTTTTCGGTGTGGAAGGAAAACACACTCATCCGAGACTTCCATGCCGTTGCTGCTCCTTTTCCTATAGCTCGAGTCAGTCTGCAGTGAGGAGGCACATACAAAGCAATAGGCTACCAGAGACTCTGTGTCTAGTTCACATGAAGATGAGCTATGGCAATTGTGACTGCTGTGGAGGAGTGTCCCCTTTAAAGAGGAGATGTGGCCACCTGCATGGGTAATCAGATGTCTTATGTCTCATGGGATATGACAGAATGTTGTTTGTTTTGTGTTCTTTGCTTACTCTTTTGCTCTTTTGGGAGCCTGCCACACAGCTCCCAGATAAATACACACATGGAAGCTTATTGCTACTTATGAATGTCCAGCGTTAGCTTGGCTTGTTTCTTGCCAGCTTTTCTAAAATCACCCCATCTAACTTTTTCCTCTGGGCTTTTTCCTTTTCTTACTTCTCTACAGTTACTTTCACTCTGACTCTGTGGCTGCTATGTGACTGAGTGGCTGGCCCCTGACATCTTCTCTCCTTGTCCTCTCTCGCTCCTTCCTCTTCTTCCAGATTTCTTCTTCTGTTTGTACTCTCTGCCTGCCAGCCCCTCCCATCCTTTTTCCTGCCTTGCTATTGGCCATTCAGCTCTTCATTAGACCATCAGGTATTTCAGACAGGCACTTGAGAAGGCAGAGGAGTACTTAAGATCCCCTGGAACTGGAGTTATAGATGGTTGTGAGCCACTATGTAAGTGCGAGGAAGCAAACTCGGGTCCTCTAGAAGAGCAACAAGAGCTCTTAACCATTGGGCCATCTTTCCAGCCTCCTGAATATGGCTTTGGATATCCATGAGGCAAGGGCCGGCACTCCTCTACCAGTATCCATTCACTGCCCCCCTCACAGTTCCTTTTCCCAGGTTAGAAGTGCAATCACAACAGGACATGTAAGCTATGCCCAGCAGCCACATGGCCAGTGGGCGTGGGCACCCCCACCCACATCCTTGCCATTTGCAACCCACATGGCTGCTTTCCTGGGCTGTTTGCCTGTGCCCTTAGAAGATGTGCCACCATTCTTGGAACCTCTAAGTTCTTGGGTCTCTGTTGCATCTTTCAGTTCATCCTCAGGCTTTCCCATGGAGATCCTGACCCTGTCACACGTTGTCCGACCTCCTAGACCTTCTTCTGAAAAGTCTCCATAATCCTATAGCTCTTACATTCTTCGTGGCTGCAAAATGTAAGCAGAGGGTGGGGCAGAGGGTGTGTCCTCCCAGCACAATGCAGCTGCTGCCAATGTCTGTCTCCAGTTCAAGCAGTAGCCAGGCTTAACTTCCACTGAAGCTAAACTGCAGAAAGTGGCCTGAGTGTGCCTGAACATGTGTAAGCGAACCCCTAGAGGGCACTGTACAAGCAGACTAACCTTAACACTCTCTCTGGCATCCATGAGGAGACCCCCTACAAGCCTCTGCTCAGTGTCCCTTTTCTGAGACCTGTCTTGGATGGAGACAGCTGAGCCACACCAATCTGTCATATAAACTCCTAAATCTTAGAGGCTTAAAATCCCAACTGCTTTTGTGTTTCGGCTCAGAGGTCAAAACAGAGAGTATCCGGGAAGAGAAAGGAAGGGTGGCACTCCAGCTGGAGACTCCAGTGCCAAGCAAAATGGCATTCATCGTTTCCTCCCAGGTCCTCTGGTCAGGAGTGTCAGACAGTCCCTCCTCCATACAAAGCAGCAAGAAGAAGGGCACCGAGAGTGGGCACTCTCCCCCACCTCCAGTGCTCACTGTCTCTCATTTACTTAGTTGTTGCTTGGTCCCTGCCTGATAGAAGGTGAGCCCATGGGAGAGAGAGAACACTTGGCAGTCTGTTCACTACTAAATCTCAAAAGGGTATGGGTCGTAGGTGCAGCTTTCTCTTTCTGTTGTTGTTGTTTATTTGGTTGGTTGGTTTGGGGAGTTTTCTGTTGTTTTGGTTTGGTTTTTTGTTTGGGTTTGTTTTTGTCTTTTTAATGGGGTTTCTCTGTAGCCTTGGGTATCCTGGAACTATGTAGACCAGGCTGGATTCAAACTCACAGAAATCAGCCTGCCTCTGTTTCTCAAGTGCTGGGATTAAAGGCGGGCATCACTATGCCCAGTGAGGAGAGCTTTTTCAATACTGAGAGCCTGATGGGAGGGCACGTCCTCTGCCCCACCCTCTGCTTTCTGCTCCCCTCTTTCCTCTGACACCTCCTCTCTCTGTCATCTCCTCTCTCTGTCATCTCCTCTCTCTGTCATCTCCTCTCTTGGGCACAGCTTCTGCAGACCTCTGAAGTCCACCAAATTCCCTGTTCTCTACATTTTAGGGCCTGGGCTATTGTGGTTACATGAGTGGTATGTATATATATGACGAGTGCATACCAGTATGTATGTGTGTTTGGCATGTGCATCAGGGTGTGTGTGTGTGTGTGTGTGTGTGTGTGTGTGTGCAACATGTGCATACAGGGATGTGGTGTGTGTGTGTGTGTGGTGTGTGTGTGTGCAACATGTGCATACAGGGATGTGGTGTGTGTGTGTGTGTGTGTGTGTGTGTGTGTGTGTGTGTGTAGGACCCCTTCCACAGAAGCTGAGTTGCCTCTGCAGTGGAAGGTCACATGTAGGACAGGAAAGTGTGTGAGTGAAAGTGTCCAGGGACACTGTGCTTTCCCCATTGTTAAAGCCTTCTCACAGGGAGCTGAAATTCCCCAGGACAGGCCAGCAGCTCTAGCCTAGCAGTGCCATTCCTGACAGGAGGATGAGGGAGAGAGAGCTGACTAATAATTCCTGGGAGCTCATGGCTGTGCAGGCTGACCTCCACAGAACAGCTATGGTTGTCTGTGCCCACAAGGCTCAGATGGCCTGCCCATAGAGAGCCCCACCTTAGAAATGTCTCAGAGTCACTCAGGGTCAGCAGAGCCACAATAGGACAGCAAGCAGATAGTGAGAACAAAGAGGGAACACAGTCAGCCAGGGCACAAATAGCAGATGTGATGGGCTTCGGCCAGTTGGGGAGCAGTGTGCCTTGCCTGAGACCCTGGAATGCTGAGTCTCTTCCCCAGTCAAAGGCCCATGGGAGACATGTGTGCCCACTGTGATCCCTTTGAGTGTTCAGCATCTTGGGTGAGGTCGCGATTCTAAAGCACCTCCATTTGGTGTTCACCAGTAAAGCAACCGCTTCACGTTTCGTCTCACCCTTGTCTGAATTTGTCACTAGACTTGGGAGCTCCAGTGTCCTCTAGGAAGATCCTTATTCTTTAGGGACCTAAGGTCTCCTGTGGACTAGACACACGCAGGAAGGTCCTTGTCCTTGGTGAAGCGGTGGGCCACGCCCTTCCAGTTAACTTCCTTGTACAAGGAAGTGATGCTCTGTGTGGGGCCACCACCAGAATGAGACCCGAGATGTCTTTGATTTTCCAAAAGGAAGTAGGTGTCACTTCTCTCAAGGCACATCCATGTCAGCATCTTACACATGTTAGAAATAAAGTGTCAAGAAGGAAAACACATGCCTTGGGATTCAGGAAGTGTTCCTGTCCCCCATCTCCTCTTCCCTGTTTCACCCCAAAGCCCATCATCCTCCCTTCTGGAGCTCCCATGGTTTTTCTACATCCTCTATCCTGCTGTGGCTTAAATGTGACACCTTTGGAAAGCTGTTGATAATTATCACT